ACACACACACACACACACACACACACACACACACACACACACACACACACACACACACACACACACACACACACACATAAAACACATACATACATAGACATGCAGATGTGGACGGACCAAGACTTACCGACCCAGCGATGGATAGAATCGATGCGACATTTCACTCTTTACAGTTTTAAATCAATAGTATATCGATTTCTGTCCCAAAGTTTTCATTCTGAGAATTGATTTCATGGCTATGCGATTATTGAATTGTTACGTTTGATCACACGTGGACATTTGCGCCTTCTCCACATTCTGTTTTCGGAGGAAAAAAGATAATTAATTGTAAGTGTTGAAAAAAGTAAATTAATTAAAAAAGGAAAATTTCATCTTTTTTCACCATCCTATCTTCATCTCTTCATTTCAGTACTGTTAATCCAAACGGCGATTTCGATCGGCGAAGAATACTTGTTGATTCTCCACGCTCACATACACTCCCACACATACATACGAATAGAAAGTCACACACAGAACGTACACAGACACAGACATACACACACACATACACACACACACACACATAAATTTGTCACAGCTTTTTTTGTTTTAAATGTGAAATATCAATGTGTAGCATTATTTCAATTTATTGGGAAAGGTCATTTTAATTTGTGAAAAGGTTATTTTACATTCTTTAGGTGTAAGATGTACACGATTTGGAGTATGTCACTAAAGTCGCCTAAGAAAGCTACACTGAGCTAAAATTCATTATGTGCGTGTATTCTAATGTGATTGTCACGTTGCAGCATTTAAGTGGATGGAAATAAGGGTCATCGTAGACGGAGTGGAACGGAGTGTTTCCGGAATAACGGACACCACAACATGTGCGCAAATTATTTATGCTCTTGCTCATGCAACGGGACAGAAGGGTCGTTTCGTTTTAATTGAAAATTTTCGAAATACGGTGAGTGTTTAAACGCTAATTTAGCATGTAGAGAATTTGCCAGTAATTTAGTGAAATCAGGAGAGGTTCTTCAATGTAATGCCTAATGTCTAGGCACAGAAAAAACATTGCCTGATAACTTGCTAATTCTCTTAGGTTAAAAAATCTTTTCGTAATGTTCTTTCCAAAAAAATATTAATTAAAAATTAAAATCCTGAAATTAAACTATAAACTTTATGATTTAGGAAAGAAGTTTGGCACCATTAGATCGACCGCTTGAAATGTTGCGGAAATGGGGTACGCATTCACGTTGTGTGACGTTTCTACTGAAGCATCTAGATGAGGGGCATCATCAGTTACCAGCGAAACTTATCTTATTGATAATGACGATCAACCGGTACTAATCATTACTCGATCTTTTTTACTTTCAGTCGTCGTGATGTAGGAAATCTACGTTCCGAAAAAACCATACCATTCACTATAAAAAAAACCATACCATTCACTAGATTTTACCACATCTTTGTCATCCTTCGATAACTGTTGGCTTTGATTATTAAAATAAAGAGGTGTCCCCTTCCAGAAAGTTATGAAAAATTCACATGACTCACAGTTGAACATGATAAAGAAAGTGTAAAACCCGAAGCAGAAGAAAACATTTAAATCTAAATTTAGCTGTTGTTTTTATTATCGATTACCAAAGGTATACTGGTTTCGGAAGTACTGAAGGATGATTGTATATTGATTGGAGACATGCTACTGAGAGGGGGTGAAGATTTATTGATTGCTAATATGCAAAACTTTTCCATTTCTTAAAATTCGGTTTTTTGTTGACTTCAACTATTGTATTACTGATTATTTTCAAAGTGAAGGTTGGTTTCACCAGTAGCTTTTGCTCTGTCTTTCTATCCAATCTTTTGCTCATCAGAGTTCATCTTTGTATACAAATCGCGTCACTTCCAATAACATGGTGTTTCGTCTAACGTTTTGTGATTATCAGTGAATTTCCTGTTAGTAAAGGTTACTTTGTCATCTCCCATATCATAGATGTCATGGTCAGTTTTGCTTCGTTTTTTCTCATTTTAAAAAATTCCTCAATTCCCTCTAAATTTAAGGAAAATTCACAAATGAAAGAACCATCCTTCACTTCACTGAATATCCCTGCCTCACAAAGCGCACAAAGCTCCGGTACTGATACTGAAGAAAATCGAGGATCGACCTCTTCCACTGCTATTCTTTCTTCGATGCCAGGCAAATAGTTTCCCAGCTTACCATCAACTATTTTTGACTAGCTAAAATTTGTTTAGCCATTATTAACTTTTTCCATCCTCTTTTTTTACTGCTTACAACGTTATTGCCGATTTGCAGAACAGTTGTATCGTCCAGTTTTCCAAAAAGTCAACTCGCAGACAATGACCACCGAACGAATAAGGAATCGGCCACCTCCACCGGGTAAATTGTATTTGCGTTAGATTAAAACAGTAGAATAAGGGGATTAATTGGGTAGTTGTACTGATTTGGTTCATTGTCGTTTCTCAGCGTTCACTTCCTAATTCAAAACATATGGTTTCTGCTATGAACATTTCCCCAATCAAAATTTTGAGAAATTTTCAAACAAAACTGCATAAGTTATGAGATCGTTGCAGCCTATCATGAAGTAATTGAACAACGTTTCACTTCTTTATCTAGACAGAATACGTCATCCTCATCATTAACAGCATTACAATCATCGAGTACTTCCATCGATGATCAGTGGCGTCTTATCAAGTTAGTTAACTGCTGCAAAATTTGCGTTGGCTGTTTTACTAAGCACTCCATACATTCGTTGTTTTAAAACAATTTGAAGGGAAAATGAAATTCTTTACTTTTCTGGACAACTCTATTCTATCGTTGCAAGCTCTATTTATAACCTAAAAAACTCCCTAAGGAACTTCAGCGTAAAAAGGTGATTGTAAAATTATTGCATTTTTAGCGGTATAACATCTCAGCCAACCAATCCGGATAGCAGTGGTGTTTTGACAAGTAAATTTTATAGTTTATTTTACTGCATTTTAGCTCTTTGAAAGAAAAATTTGAATTTATTTTGCGGTAACTGAATGGTTCTCATTGGTTTCTTTAACAAAAGTGATTCTCCTAACGGAGTGGGGAACCTTGCACTATAACTGGCAAAGAAGTTTTAGTCCAAAACATGGCAGTAACTTCTAATCCACCTAAGTTAGCATTAATTTAAACCAGTGAATATTTTCGTTAATTCTTGGGGATTTTTATTTCCATTTTTTAAGATTAATGCATGATATTGGACTTGCTTTAACTTTCTATTTCTCTTCCAAAATTATTCGGTTTCTTTGCAGGAAAATTGAGCTCTAATGCTTTGGAAGAACTGATTCAAAACCAGAAGCAAGTTATCGATGAACAGAAAGCTTATTTAGCGAGACTGGACCTTGCCATCGACAATGAGCAACAACGGGAAGTTATCCAGGTAATTGTGCATGAATAGCTGTTATATGGATCTAATGAACTTTAGGTTTTTCAAAGCGCCGAAGTTTCTCAGGTTAAGTTCCTTCTAAATAGGGATTGTTGATCATATCTAAGGTCAAGGATTATATAAAGGAAAAGTCCTCTATTACATCTCAGGACTCAGTTTAACAATCGTAATTACAACAACTGCTTACAACCACGAAAGATCCATTGAGAACCTTGGCTTTTTAATGCGAAATCACTGAACAACAAGCTTATTTCCTAAAAGCATCTACATCTTTCGTATTTTTCTGGAAAGCGTGACAAAATAATTTACATTTCAAAATTTTTATTGGTTCTTTTCAGCTAAGAAGACAACAAGAAAACTTGAGAGCTGTACTGATTCCGTTACGGGAATGTGACTGGCCAAATCGTTTACAGCATGAGCGTATAGAGTTGCAAAAAATTACTACATCTATCAACGAATTTAAGCAAAAGTTGGATGCCATCACACAGTATGTTTTGTTTCGTCGATTTATTTTCTTGTGAATTATTCTTTTTTTTTTTTTACGAAATATGGTAAACCTGTAATGACCAAACATGCTGCTGAAAATGCTTTCAAATTTTAGTGAAATTAAATTGCGAACTGATGAAGAGCTTAAATTAGAATGCAACATAATGGCGATGGAAGAGGAGCTGCGAGAGCTGGAAGATGATGTCGACATTGCGATATATTCCGAGAACAACTACTGAATAATGCTATACTTCACTTCGCTACACTGAAGTAACTGATGAAGTGTGTATATTTATTGATTTCTAGAGCTTTTATTCGTATGGAAAATAATTAGTGATGTACAGTGATACATTTCAGGAATTTATTACTGAAGAATTTTCTCAAAAATTCTCGAGTATCAGAGCATTATAGTCGTGGATTTGGGAACATCCTCCAGGTTGTATACTGTTCAGTGTAGGATGCTGTTTATTTTAAGATAATCTATGGGAATTGACCATCGTGTCAATTGTTTCATCATATCTTTATCTTAAACTATGACTCAGGTTTTTTTGTAGCATTGGAATATAGAATTTAAGATAGGGCTGTCTACTTTTTCTTTTTTCTTACTCTTTTTCATTGCAGTTTCTCATATTCCTGTTTTGCTATTGTACCCAATCTTTACTGTTTGTTTTTCATTACATTCCTCAACTTCATATTTTTCCTCTTTTTGGACGCCAATCACTTGTCATATTGTTACCATCATTATTCTCGCGCTCTCTTCACCATCACTTATTTGTTTTTTATCGTTTGAAAATTTAAATTCCTGGAGAAGTTTGTAATTTCTCTCCAAAAACAAGATTTTATTTTGGACGTTTTTCAGACGGTATCCCCTCTCCAAGTGCTATTTCCGATCGTTTCCCATCATAATATTGGTTGCTAATGTTGAAAAATATCTCTCAGACAAATTAAATTTCTTATTTCTTTCACCTCTCTT